CCCCCCCCCCCCCCCCCCTCCATCCCCCGTCGACAACCGCGCGACGGCGGGCGTCTCGCTCGCGCCGACTGCGCGTGCTGTTGACCGGTCGCCATGGCAACCTAGCGACGAGTCTACAGTGGCCCAAGCCGCCCAAGGTGGATGGACTGCGGGCTTGGCGCGCCTGAACAGACAGAGCAGAAGTCAGTGCACGCGCGGACGCGAAACCGGCCGTGTAACGTTCGTCGCTCTCTGTCTCCCTCTCTGTGTCTCTCTCTCTCTCTCTCTCTCTCTCTTCTTTTTTTTCTCTCTTCTCCGCCGTGTCACTTTTCGGATCGCGTCGCGAATTTACCTCCCACGCTCGAGCGTACGGTACTGATGGTGTTTATGTCTCGTATCCAGGCTATCCAGACTCCCGGAGGGAACGATCTTTCGAGGCCGAAGTCAGCCGCTGACGGTGACATCATGGAGTGATTCGATCGGACTTCGTAGCAGGTGAGTCTCTTGTGAAAAATAAAATTGATGAAAAAAAAAAAAAAAGTAGAAAGGGTTGAGATGTGTCGCGTCAGCCGGTCGCGCGTCGCAGACAGGTTGGACCGACATCCGCCGACAGGCCTGTGTTACGTGTCGAGTGACTCCGAATTTCGTTGACGCTGGAGACAGCGATACGCTTCCGCCAGTTTCGAGTGTATCGCGCGATGTCTACGGGGCGACACGCGATTCTTTTTGACGCGCGCGAGTTTTATTCCCGTTATTAACATTGACAGACAGACAGCGTGACATCCGTCCCGACGTGTCTCAGGTTCGACGAGACGGCGGTTACGCGGATGACGATAAATTCGTAATCGTCTAACGTCTCTGACCTTGGGAACAAATCGACGCGGCCGGTTTTCTAATTTAGGTTTGCGAAACGGAGTGATCGTGAAATCGGAGTACGTCGACTAGACAGGCGTCCGCTGCGGTTGACGGTCGGAACTGCACTCTGTCCAGATATGCTCGAACACGCGTTGTTGTCCGTAACGAATACGAGGATGTCAAATCAAATAATCGTTCGATGATGAATAATAATACACTGGAATGACTTGGATATATCACAAAGTGCTGCGTAATATTAGGAAAAAAAAAAAGATAAATCAGATAGTTTTCTTAAACGAGGATATCATTTTGTCAATAAGGTGATATTAAATAGGCGATTTGTATTTACTTCGAAAGTTAAGTAAATACCGTTACAATTTATTCTTTTTTAAACAAATATATAAATTTTAAGTGTTGTATGAATTTTATTTTACAATTAGTTGAAGTATGAAAATTCAAAACGTATCCTTTACTTCAAAAGTGACAACTCAGAAAAACGTTTTTGAGTTTTATTGAATAAATGGATAATTTAAATAAACATTATCTTTTTAGTAATTAAAAATAAATTAATTTAACTTTATACAAAATCGTCAAATTGTCACAATTAAAAAAGAGCGATTTAACGTGGAAGGTAATCGTCACAACTGGAAAAGAGTAATTTTTAAATTATGTTTCACTTTTTTTTTTGAAATATAAAATCGACAAAAATTATATTTGATCATGTTTTAATAATTTCCTTTTGAACAAAACATAGTTTTCCTCTATTCTGAGAAATTTAATTTTTTTTAATTGTCATTTTTGAAGCAAGGAAGCGATGTATATAATATGTAATATTTCCTAAGTAATTTGCACAATATAAACAATAGTGTGCATAATTTATAATGCAACTAATGTTTGTGTAAAAACAGTCAACAATCCTCTGAGACAGTCTTTTCTACCGCGTCAAGTAGATACAGTCAAATAAAGGCCAGACATGCCTTCACCTACTTATCGAACGCACTGTTTGCCAAAATTTTGAACATTTATTGCGTTACATTTCTCACTGAAATTACTTTAACAAACATTTGTGGCGTATTTAGAAATTCTCCTACGTGTTAGGAACTTTGCTGCTCGCGTTGCTAATTGCAGAATTGCTTTAATAACGATTGATGAGCCTCGTCTAAATAACGACCTCGCATGTAGTACACAGTGTTTTATACGTTTCGTAAATTGCACTTTGTGTTGTATGCGCAGAAAATTGTTGCACTTAAAAATCATTTCTCGACGTATTTATTCGTATTTTAATCATATTTACTCTTCTATAACGCTGTTTAATTTGTATTTTATTAATCGTCAATAAAATATTCCGTGACATTTGCAGTCAACTTATTAAGAGTTTATGTGTAAATTGACGAGGATATTGCGACAGGTCTTTAAATGAAACATTATTTGTACGCTGAACAGTCTGTAAAATGTACATACTAGCGGTTAACGTTGTTTTCGAGAGGCAGACCATAAAATGAACTCGATAAATACTTACATCGAATATAGTCAAGAGAAAGAGTTGTAGAAAAAGGACATGGGAAAAAAACGTTTTTTTAAATTCATAATTTTAGGTTTTTTTTTTTAATAGAAAGATTTACGTATAATAGTTACGTATATTTTTTGATCCCATGACTATATTCGATTGTGCGGAACTTCGTTACAGACGTGACATTTCGTTACAAACATAATGACGCGCATATTCTGTACATGATTTTATACGTGTGTAGAAGTAGAGTCACTTGTCCAAGTTATAGTAAAGTCTCAATTTCGCTGAGTAGCGAAGGAAGTCGGTTATTATAAAACTTATATACGAAACTTTGTCCTGAAAGAATACTTGCAGTTATTTATATGCTAATTTAGGTATTTATTTTATACTAGATATATATTATAAATGCTAAAATATATATATGTATAATTAGATTTCGCTCGTTTTTTGCAATGCAATTAAAAACGGTCTAAATCGAGCAGTAATAATATTTTAATAAATTTCTAGTTAAAATGTTAATAAGAAACAACATAAAAATAAAAAATATAAAAATAATATCGAACGTTTCGGAACTCACAGGTCCTTTTTCAGCGATTTTTACAGATCTAGATGTTACAATGTCATAGAGATAAACGCATAATCTTACAGTCGAAGCGACCATGTCGCTTCGAACCGGCGTGAAGCTGGCGTCCGATTTTATCAAAAATAAAAATTGATACCATGGCGCGTTTGTATGTTACTTCGTTTGTACCTTTATTTCCTTTGCATCTCAAAGAGTACAAAGAAAAGTGAAATATAAAAAGCAGCCAGCGCCCAACTTTAAGATTTTTTAATTTCGCTCATGCCGTTCGAAAGAGAATCGTTTGTATTCGTTTGTACCTCAAAAGGTTCGGAGATACAGCTTTTTCAAAATTTCAGAAAAACACTAAGAAGGTAAGTCCGTTATTTTAAGAGATATCGAAATGGAACCAATGGCATTCGAAAGAGAATCGTTTGTATCCGTTTGTACCTCTTTCATTCTCGTTTGTATCTCAAAGGATTCAGAGATACAGCCTTTTTCGTTTTCGATATGTTCTGAATGAGTAATTGTGACTCTGTTGCTGTCTTCAGTTTGTACACCCCTTTCAAAACATGGAACACCCCTTCTGTATATATCTGCTGATATATAGGACCTACTTTTTAATGCCGATTCCGAACGGCTGATTTTACAGAAGAGCTTCTTTTTTTCCCGAAATTTTGAAAAAGCTGTATCCCGAATTCTTTGAGGTACAAACGAAAATCAAAGAGGTACAAACGGGTACAAACGATTCTCTTTCGAATGGCATAAGCGAAATTAAAAAATCTTAAAGTTGAGCACTGACTGTTTTTTATATTTTACTTTTCTTTTATACTCTTTGAGATACAAAGGAAATAAAGGTCGATACAAACAGATTCAAACAAAGTACAAACGCGCTATATGCTATCAATTTTTATTTTTGATAAAGTCGGGTGCACACCGGTTTGCGTCGACCGTAAGATTATGCGTTTATCTTTGTGACATTGTATAACAATTATAAGAATCGCTGAAAAAAGACGTGTGTGTGTGAGTTTCAAAACTTTCGATATTATTTTTATATATTTTTTATTTTTATGTTGTTTTTATTAACATTGCAAACTAGAAATTTATTGTATAAAAAAATCTTATCACCGCTCGATTTACACCGTTTTTTCTTTATACTTAAAAAAAATATATATATGTTTATAGGAACGTGTTCAATACACTGCTAAAAATTAAATGTTCACAAATTAATTTAAAAGACGTATGTAGTGGACTCTGAGTATCTCATATTACGAGCTCCATGCTTGCGGCTTCATGATCACCAAATCTAATTTTTATAATTAAGTACATCATCATATTTGGCATTTTTCTATTAATACAACCGTACTCTATCAATGCATGCAGACTTTATTATTAAATATATATTTATTATATAATAAAAAACAAGGTTTGAAGACTAACTTCAATAAAATTCGACAACATCCAATTTCAAAAATATTTTTTCACAACTACTACACGCATGATCTAATAATGAGTTTTCTAAATATGTTTTACTCCATCAGTAATAAGTTCATAATAAAACCACATGCGCTTATTAGTTTAGCAGAAATCCCGCTATCTCATATTAGGAACCTATCTCATAATAGGCGACTTTACTGATAGTGTAAAGTTATATAAACTTAGACGGACTATCGATGTTACTGATAATAATATTATTGATGATACAGAGTATTATTGATCATTTAAAGTCCGCATTGCGATCGTACGCTTAGCAAGGTCGAAGATTATTTTTTCGATATAGCGGTTTTTTCAAGCCATGGCGTGGGAATTTCATCGCTTCAACCCGCTGCCGGACTTCCGCATAAACGAGGTGAACTATAGCTTAGGGCTTCGCGTTGCAAGCGTGCTCCAAAGTCCGCGTTTGCTTTGAGTTTTATCGAAGTTAAGAGACAAGGCGAGGGAGAGACGCGCGACCGAATTCTTTCGATCGACGACCTCGATAACTGTCTTTAATTCAAAAGTTGTTTTTTTTTTCTTTCAGCTAGTATGATACAATTATCGTTAGGTTGCTATACCTGGATTAACACTTTAACTGTTACGTATATTCAATTATATACACACCTATGTGGACTCAAGTCGCATCAATTCTAGAGTGTTGGCACACATTTCCTTGCTACCATCTTGTATAAACCGAGACACTTTGCATTGATTTTACATGGTTTATTGTAAATTGTGGAGAGATTTGTTAATTTTCTTGAAAATTTTTATTTAAAAGTATATTTTAAATTGTAAAATGTATTTTAATATGAAAAAATTCACTGAAAATTACATTTTATGAAAAATATAATAGTAATATGATGCCACGAGATCGATTACCTGTACGAGGCAGTCAAAGTGTTAATATATACTAATTCATCATCCGTTAGAAATCTATCTTGTTAAGTAGATAACTAATTGGAATTAAAAGAAAAAGGAATTAGGACTAAAACGAGTTAAATTTAAAGTTAAATTAAATTAAATTTGTATAGAAACGTGAAAAGTCTGTTTAACGATGTTGGCGTTTCAAATAGAAAGGTATAGGGTTTATGGAAG